CTTGAAGGCAGGAAACCTTTTATCGGTCTCTGGCAGCTGGCGGAGCGACGAAAATCGACATGAGCACATCTTTTTGGAGTTATAGTAAAGGTTTTGGTCTGCAACATTCCGAATTAGTTGCCAAAGCATGTATATTTGTCTAGTGTATCGAAGCCTTATATTTTTGGCTGGTTCTTATATGCTTTATTGGAATGGGTAATGTGTCAACGAGCTTTCGGGACACCCTGTAGGCTTAGAACCACGTTGGCATTTATTTTTTTAAATAAATTTTGATCATGTATTTAATATGAGCTGGTTAATACTTCTACCATTCAAATGTGGTATCGGTTTTCGCATTCACATTTGCGGTTAATGCGACCCGATAATCAATTTGCCACCAGCCTGTTTGATTTTGACCTGATCCTCTTTAGATTTAACTTCAAAAGTCAGAATGCATCTACGCTACACCGAAGTCTCAGGCTCATTTCCCGGTCCCCAGGGCGGCCGGTTCATCCTGCAGCTGGTTGATCGAATGTACCGCTCGTCTGGTGGCCCAATGAGCCTGTCTACGTCACCCCCTCCAGGATACGTACTGTCCAATGGGTCGAGCTCTAGTGGTTTTGATGGGTGGCGGGACCCGGTGCTGTGGTGACGCGTACCTCCGTAGTCGCCGTGACTCTGTGGCGGGCCTCCGGTAGCTCCTCTCCGACCATGATATGGCACGGGAGGGATGTTGGACGGGCTCCTCTGCGACTGTACGGTGCCGCGGTGAGGGATTGCGGAGTCACACCCGGCACTGGTCGGGCTGGTCGGGACGTTCTCAGCCATTTCTTGGTAAGGCGTGTCACCAGTCTCATTTCCAGCATCGCCACGCACGGCTCTGTGGTGCTCGGGCTCTCCGGGTGCTCCCGTCAACGACTGTGTCGCCGGAGGGTTGTGTTGGGTACCCTTCGAGCCCCTCCCCAGCTCCGTCCCAGGGCTGGTGTGTGTCGAGGCAGACTTGACACTGGTCTGGCAAGTCGAGACACTTTGAACTGACTTCTGGCATGAGGCGTTGTCGACTGAGCCGGGTGCGTGGAGCGGAGTCGGTGCGCTGATCTGGGGGTGTGAGTCCGGTCCTTGAGTCGGCTGATCGTTTCCGTGGGAAACCAGTGCATACTGGGATGCTATACTTCCCCTAACTGATCGGCACGACTGTCCTTTAAACTGGCGACGAACGAGGAATGTTAAGACAACAGCTAGCGCAATCAGGACCGCGACACTGATGGTGGCGATCATTATCTCCATGTGGGTGGAGCCAGTGCTAACCTGGTCTGAGCCATCGCCGGACGTCTGGTCTGAGCCATCGCCGGGAGTCTGGTCACTGGTCTCACGGTTTGTTTGAGAGTCCTGTTCATTTGATTCACCGGCTGTCTGAGGCGGCAGTGACGATTTGCCTCCTCTGTGCGAGTTGGTCGGGCTAGTAGGCTGCGGAGTGGTGGTGGGCTCCGTGCAGAGCTCCTCCAGGTATTCGTCTAGTTTCCACCGTGTGTTATTGACCTCGCAAAGAGTCTCGTTGATCCAGAAGTCGTTCTCAGAAGATACATCGAGACCCAGTGCTGTCGCTATGTCGCACGTACAGTATATCTAAAAAGTATGTCCCCTGGTTTGGCTCTCCCACAGGAGGCGAATCGGTAACTTGGCTGAATCCCAGTTGCGGCATCCGGCCGCCAGGGTCGCTGCCGCGCGAGCGGCCTTGACCGCTCGCATGTCATTGGCAGTTCGGTCCCTCCCCATCTATACCGAGGTGGGGAGGGGAGAAGAGGGGAAGAGAGGGGAGGGAGCGGCATCCGCTCGGCACTTGGCGATACCTGGCTGACCCCGCGCTCCCTCGCTGACCTTTGTCCTGCCCTCAGGCGAAGACCGACTTCCTGGCCTGTAGCGGCCCAGCGGAAAACCGAGCTCGCGGGGCGCGACTCCATTGGCCCAATCTTATAAATGGAATGCTGTCGTATTCACGGCATTAGATAATATTAATAGTGATACCAGCAGTGGATGTGGTAAAATACAGTCCAAAATAAACGAAAGCACTCGATTCGTGCATAATGCGCCCTCCCATTCAAATAAGCCCGCCCACTTCGATAGATGGTGTAGTTTCTTAGGGCGTAAAAGATGCAAAACACTATCGATTTTTTTTTAGCTCGGCCACTGGGACCGACAATATACAATTGACTGAAATGCATGAAAACCATTTTGCATTTAGGTAATAGCCGTTTTCTGCACCCAAACTTTAGCCAGTGACGCCCTGTCCATTCTAAAGCGTTTATAAGATTGGTCCCAGCACCCGATTTTATATGAGGAAGTCGTTTAAAAAGCATCTTATTTCTAACGAATTTATTATTATGGCCACTTTTACAGGACGTCTATAGAGCTTTGACTTCTACATTTCTTCCTCGTTCAGGAGAAACGTTTTAACCCTCACCGGACCTTCAGGTTTTCTGAATACCGAGGGACGTTGGGGGTTGGAAGTGAGGAAACAACCCCCTTCGCCGATTCGCCCCTAATTGAGCTAGAGCCTCACGAAAGAAACGATCGTGTGCGTCGTTACGAAATGCAGCGATTGGTCTCCGATTTAAGGACCAGGGTCAGTCGATGACTTCGGAGGTCAGGTCAAGTGGCCCAAGGCACAGGTTCGGTTTTTGGTAAATAACTTCGCTAAAAATGATCGCAGATCCGCGATTTTAGCAGCATCGTGTTTGTCTAGCTCAGGCGTGTCGAATGGTATACTTTTTCTTCGGGTGAGATCAACTTAACCCTCGCCCGTATAGGGGGGGGGGGGGTCGAACGGACCCCCTCCCTCGGTTTTTCGCGAATAACTCGCGTAAAAAGCGGCCGATCGCGACTAAACTTTCGTTACCCTCGCGTTCATCAATTTTACACCCACCCTGAAACTGTCATGACCCTGACCTTAATGACCTTTGACCTGCGACCTACTTTTCGAGACCATGTTTGGCCGGAATCGCGATTCGGCGTATGTCGGCTCGCATTAGCGGCGCGTTTGCAGTCTTTTCGTGGTTTTAAGCGTTCAAACATGGGATATGATGTTGCTTCCATGCATTGACCTTTGATGACCTCGGTTCACTTTTTCGAGTTTTATATGTTTCTAGGCCAGTTTTAGGAGCTGGATTCGAATTTAGCAGCCATATGAACATTTAAGAAGTAGTTTTGGTGCCCTCGTAACATGTTGCGAAGCTGTCAGAGGCGGTTGCCACCTACTACGAATACCCTTACTGGTTGACCTGACCTGACCTGACCCGACCTGGCCTAAATGCATGAAGACATCATCTGTGATCAAAACTAACATGATATTCGTGATCAGCACCCCGAAAACCCCATAGCAGCCACGCTTTACGACTTTCTAACAGACCCGATTTTCCCGACTTTTGGGTCATTGACCTGACCTGGAAAGTCAACCGATGACCTAGGACCTTAAAATTGGGTATCATCGACTTCCTCTCGTCACGGCCAACACGCTCGTTTTTTCCGCGAAGCTCTAGCTCGATCAGGGGCGAAACGGCAAGGGAGGGTCCAACGGACCCCCCCCCCCCCCTTATACGTTTGCGGCTGGAAAAACACCAATATGGGCGAGAGTTAAGGTGTTAACCTCGGGTCAAGGTCAGGTCACAGCCCGTCAGGTCACGAAGCTGGGCAAAGAAGGTCATATTGCATATCAATCGATTCGGCAGGTCTTTTCATGTCCATTAGTGGCTTTATCGACTCGCTAGCTTTAGTTGATCGGGAGTTATTGACGAAAAACTGATACCCTTGGTTACGTGATAAATGACGTCACGCAAGATCAACAAAGCAAAATTAAAGCATCAGACCTTGCAAGGAGCGCATGAAATCACGATTCCGTGTGCTTGAGAATTTGAGATAGTTGTATATCATTTCCGGACCAAACTAGCAATTTCCATATTCCCCTGACTTTTAATGGTGAGAGACTGACGATCTCAGGCGACCCTTCAGAAAATCCGAGATATACATTTATACAAGTTGTGAGACTCTCGATCATACTATAAGATCCTGTAAGTTTCATCTCCCTATGAAAGCTCTGCACTGAGGGTGTAGCGAAGTTGAACATTTTAGGAGTGTGCACACAGTCCTAAAATGTTGAGGACAGTTTAGGACAGTTTCACACAGTTCATTTTAGGACTGCTCATTTATGACGTCATAGATCAGTGACCTGACTTGACTTAAAAATGCGGTTGGCGTAAAAAAATCTGACTTATCAAATCCCGACTAAAAAAAATCGACTTATAATCCGGTTAATCAAATCCCGACCATGTTTTTACCTGGCCATTAATGTTCTAGCCTTACAGGTGATTGTTTGAACGCGGAAGATGCTGAATCTTGGTTAACCCCATACTTATCGTATGATAAAGAACGTCAGTGTTAGAAAGTTAATTAACAATTTTATTTAGGATAGTTTAATCCAAGTGGGTATAAATCGACTTGACAATTTACTAGGAGGGTTTTGCAGCGCTATTAGTTCGGCATTTAATTATAAATAATTGCTAATTTCGATCCGGATATCGTTATTCAATGCTGGCCTTTGCGTCCTCAGAAAGTTGTTTATAGTCATGAAGGCTTGCATTGACCCATACTTTCCATTTTTCAGCACTATTATTCGCCGTAGTTGACCAGGTGTTTTCTTCAGCTCTCCCCTGAATCCTTTGGCTTAGACCTGGCGTATCACCCGTGCATCGCAAGACGCACCTACCACACACAAGTTCATGATCCCCACGAACCCACATCAGCGTCCGTTCGCTTGGTGTGTGACCCCTTGACCTTTGGCCGCGACAACTGCCAGCTTGCTGGAGCACCCCTCCCTACACGCGCTGCCCCGCCCGCTCCCCTCCCTCCCCCCCCCCCCGGGGTCGTGTCACGAAGGTTCGGGCTTACGCTACTACCGGCCGCTGCGCAGCTGTCACCTAGCGCCTGGGAATGTGTGGTCTGGTGCGGATTCAGCCAACTACCGGCTCGCGACACCAGCGCCACGTAGTGGCGACGGTACATTCTTTTTAGACACACTGTACAGGGAATGTCCAATGTCAGGCCATGCACTGTTACTCTTTGGTTCTGGCTAAACTGCAGCGAACCGTTATCTGGATGTTGGATGTGGAGATTGCCTAGCTGAATCCGGTGGCGAGCTGTGGCGTTTCCTTTCGCCACCCTTAGCGAGCTGAAGGCTTCCTTTCGCACAGCATTGATCGTGCAGTTCCTGATCGTGATATCGCTGTCAGCAAGCACCACGAATGCTTTTTCTGATGCTTCAACGATATCGCTGCACTCAAAGGAAAACTTCGTAACATTCAGCTGCAGCCCTTCCTTTTATATCGCTCCGAATGTGCTGTTCTTGATTTGAACTTCCCTGACCGTCCCGTAGAAAGCCGATGTTTCAGTGTGGTTAAAGCGGCTGTTTTCAATGATCAGTTTGTTCATTTCGCTGCCAGCTGATATGCAGTGTTCTGTAGCCCGATGGATATGCGACGAGCTCAGGGATAAACTTCCAATCTTGCCCCCGAACGTGTTTTCACCACACGTTTCCATTTCAACTTCTTTTACCTTCAACTTGTCAATGTTTGCCTGAATGCCATGCGGTTCAACGCTGAGATACTTCACTTTTTTCAACTCGGCCTCCTTCATTCTCGAGTTTTGGGACAGTGCACCTGAGTGTATGGTGAGGTTTTCGATGCCTTCAATCCATGTCTTGTGCACTGTGACATTTGACGTGAATGCTTGTTTTGATATCGAAAGTGATTTTATACCTGTCATGTGAACTTTTTCTATCAGAGAATCATCGCTGAAGGCGCTTTCATGAACAGCCAGTGATTGTATTCCGCTCAATGTCAAGCTGAAAAACTGTGCGTTAGCAATGGAAGACGAGAACAGCTGGCAGTCATCCACGTCTTCTATGATGATCCTCGAGTCCCCGCTCAAGTCTTGGAATGTCTGGGAACGCAGCTGAAGACTCGTCACTGCGCGTATTCTCACTGTAATCCGTTCGGAGTTGTTGCCGCGCGCCAGAGACCTGGGCTGAAGAATCAAGGTGTTGACTTTGGTGATCTCGATTTCCTCCAGCGATGTCAGAGAGGAGATGGAGTCCTCATCGATCGTTATGGTCTCAACATCGGTTATCTTGATTTCTCGGGCATCTCTCGGGAACGATGCTGCCGTGATGTTTATCTGGAACAGACATGAACCATCTGCCATCATCATCATCATCATCATCATCATCATCATCATCATCATCATCATCATCATCATCATCATCATCATCATCATCATCACCACCACCACCATCATCATCATCATCATCATCATCATCAATCATCATCATCATCATCAGCATCAGCATCATCATCATCATCATCATTTTTATTATCAGCATCATCACCATCATCATCATCATCATCATCATCATCATTATTTTTATTATTATCATCATCATCATCATCAGTATCAGCCACCGCCATCAGCATCAATCATCAGCATCAGCCATCAGATCAGCCATCAATCAACAGCATCAATCATCATCATCATCATCATCATCATCATCATCATCATCATCATCAACAATCATCATCAGCATGAATCGTCACTATCAGCATCAGCCATCATCATCAGCATCAGTCATAAGCATCAATCATTAGCATCAGCACCAATCATTAGCATCAGCATCAATCATTAGCATCAGTATCAACATTAATCATTAGCACCAATCATCATCATCAGCATCAGTATCAATCATTAGCATCAATTATTATCATCAGCATCAATCATCAATCATCAGCATCAGCATCAATCATCAGCATCGCCATCAATCATCCCCGTGGCTCAGTGGATAAGGCGTCCGTCTCCTAACTCGGTGGCAGCGAGTTCGCGGCCGGGAAGCTCCACGTCGTTTGACCCGCATTCCTATATTCAGCCAGCTGGCAACTGGCGAGAGAGGGCCACGCTAGACCCGGGAGGACCGTGCCGCCATCTACCTGCGGCACGTTAAACTTTCGATCCAAATTATCACCGGTGAACCGGGCGCGGGCAAGGTCGGTTGGTGGGTCCGTGGTGTCATTCGCAACAAGCACTGCTTAGCGGGGCACCCGGGCCCATAGTCACCCATGACCCATTCATTCATTCATTCGGATAAACTTAAAGAAAAAAATCATCAGCATCAATCATCACCTTCAGCATCGATCATCATCATTATCACCATCATCACTCATCACCATATCTATCTGCCTCCACTCACCTGTTTCATTGGCCGGTTTTTCATGTCGCAGAACACTGTCTCGGAGGTCTGGCATTCCTGCCGTACAACAAACTCGCAGTTGGACTCTCGGCAGCCGGTGGCGGAGACCACATGCCGGCCGACGGTCAACACAATGATAAATGTGATCACTGAGGGGATAATCCCCATAATGCGTAGCTGCATTGAGCTACGGACAAGAGCGGTGTCTCGTACATGTGTGGCTGGGATGGCGGTCTGACGCCGAATGGCGCGAAGTTGCAAAGGCTGCTTATCAGCTCGTTGAGCTATCTGGCTATCACTCTACAGGGCAGGGCGTTGGCAGGACTCATGGCAGGACAGGACGATGAAAATTTGAAACAGAGCACGGACATCGAGGCAGGACACTAGGGTCTAGGACAGCCTATTGATCATCCATTGCTGTTCATCCTGTCCATCGATATGAGGGTCCGCACTGAACAATGGATAGATTGCTCATCATATCAACCGTGCGGGTTGGGTGGCCTGGCCGTCTGATCGATGATTCACGAAATCGAGGGCAGTGAAGGACAGAAATATAGAACACTGGTCAGGTTCTTACGCGCTCATTTTGTTCCTATCCATCCCATTAAAACATTTTTATCAAATAGCAGCAACACAGATAACTTACAAAAATTAACACGAATCACAAAAATAGGCTACAAAAGTATTACATATATCTGCTCAGATACAATCCCAAGCTTAGCTACCACCCATGAACTAACTATGCAGCAAATATTGAGTGATAAATGTCACCCATGACCTACCGCTTAATTGAATTATCCGTTTAATATTTCCTTCTCTCTGAACTGACTCATCTCTCAACGTCCCAGCGTTACGTCGTTTTCACAATGTGAAGCATTTCGTGACAGCTTTCGTGATGCTATCGCGACTCCTTTCACGACGTCCTGCATGGTTCCTTATGCCGCAATTTTGACGATCTTTGTGCCATTCTTGGCGGTTTCGTCACCTTACATGACCTTTGGTGACCCTTTATGACCCCCGCCCCGCCCCCTCTGTTCCTCAGCGGCTCAGAGCAGCCACTGACGCTGCTGCAGTTCGTGCTCTACCTCTACCACCACTGCACGGAGATGCGGCCCGTGCTGATGTCGGTGGAGGTTCTGACAGTTCTGGCCGGTACCCTGTTCCCGTACAGAGCGGGGACGGAGAGCAGTCCCACGACCCCACTGGATGACACGGTTAGTGGGGGGGGGGGGGGGAGAGAAGATAGATTTGGGTGGATGGGATCCAGGATCGGAAGGGGGACACTAATGTGGAAATATATGATATTCTTGAAGGGAAGGTTTAATGCTAGGATGTTAGGATGTTATTATGTGGATAAAGGATACATTTGAAGCTAAAGAGAAGTTTTTTGTCCAGAGCAGCAGCTAAGGAATTTACGGAGGATTAAATAAATTTTGTTGATACCTAATTAAGTGATATATTAGAGGAAAAAAAAAATAACGGAATATTTTTGCGGGATGGATACATGTAAGCTTCTGCTGTACAAAGGCCTTTGGTTTAGAAAGATATCTTCGAGGCTAAACGGAGGATTTATCGGATAATAAACGCATTTATGGATAACTTCCCCTGACGGCGTGTCCATGTAGCTGAAGTTTGCGGTGTCGCCACCAGATGGGTCTGGGTGACGCGGTGCTGGTGAGCGGCGCCGAGGCCTCTGACGCCATGCTGACGTCCCACCCGGCCAGTAAATACGTGCTGGATCTGCTGAGAATTGTCACCGTCGACTCTCTATCACTGGCACCGAGCAAGACGGCGCCGCCGCTGGTGGATATTCTGCTGGAGGTGAGGTCAACACGGGGTCATGGTGAGGTCAGGGTGAGGTCATTTCAATCAGCTTAGGTAATTCCAACTCTCTTCCTGTTGGGTGACCGTTATTCTGTTGGATAATTTAAGGTCAACTAGGCCAGATTTATTCTGTTTTGCATGTCACCTTTGGTCAGGCTGGGTCACCTTCGGTCGGGTCGGATCAAAGTGTCAATGACATCGTCAGAATTGTCCTTCACCCTCCCCCGCGGTCAGGTGACCCCGGAGAGCACCACGCTGGCTCAGCAGATGTCCTTCCAGACCAAGATTCTCTCGCTGCTCATGGATCATCTCACAGCAGCCGACGTACTCATCGGAGAACAAGGTAAGGCTCCGGATCGCGTCCCAGCGCAGGCACTAACTTTTCCGATATCAATTGTTTTCGTTGTCGTTAAACTGAATACATCTGGCGACTGGTGTGTGGAATATATTCAAAGAGTTGTGCCAATAGCGCAGTATTTTCATATGTCAATATTGCATTCGGCAATATCTCTTTATCAAAGAAATCCTTCCGTAATGACCTTGGGATGCTTCAAACACGTATTCACCATTAATTATCAAAAGTCACCTATGACGCCACGTGCCCGGTTTCAAGGTGCCACCCCCGGGACCCTGCCGGTGTCGTCGCCCGCTCCATGTCTGGGCAGAATGGCTGTGGTTCTCGGTCGCTGTTTGCTGCCGTGGCCGCTGTCCTGTATGTGTCTGCGGGATGACTGCGGTGTCTGCGGGCTTTGTTTGGAATTTGAGTGGGGTGTCTGTGAGGTTTGCGGACTGTCTTAGGTTTTTTTTTGGGGGGGGGGGAGAGGATTTGAGATGGGTGTCTGCGAGTTGACTTTGGGATGTTTTTTATCTGAGCTAGGTAGCTATGAGCTGTCTTTGGGATGCATGTGGGCTGTCTGCGGGTTTTGTGTGGGTGTTAGCGGGTGTTTACGAACCAGCTGTCGAGATGTCAGCCGTGGCTTTTGGAGTTGGTGTGTGACTGTTTTGTCACACACGCTTTGTCTTTGATTGCGGTGGAGGAATTCGGTATGGTTCTGTGTGGCTTGGTTTTGAATTTGGCTAATTGGGGGTATAAGCTACATCAGTTTTACCGATTATTGATCTCATGATTGAATTTCAACGTTGCCTTTCCAATGGGCCACTCCATGTTCCAGCGGCTTTGCTGAGAGTACCACATCTTATTCTTTTGGCTGTCGAGTGTCGATGTTCGGGCGTCGGGGATGCTCAGCCGTGTATAGGTGTGGCGGTATTGGTGATTGGACCGCGGAGGACTGCAGTGGCCCGCGCGTCCGGTGCCTGGGAGCTGCTTGTGGCGCTTTTGTTTCCGTATGTCGAGGTATTCCAACTCTTCCATGTCATAGTCTAAGTGAAAATGCCAGCATTTTTATTTGGTTCACAAAAAGCAGCATAATTATAAACTGTTGTTGAATAATTTATGATTTATGCTGACTGAGGATGTTCTCTTGGCCATTTTTATAAAGGCATTCTGCTAGGATGTTTGGAATAGTTGGGTTGATTAAGCCAGTGCCTGCGCTAAGCAGGGCTTGCTGCGCTGGTCCTGACCTCTATACCCTCCCCCTCCCCCCCCCCCCTCTCTCTCTCTCTCTCTCTCTCTCTCTCTCTATCTCTCTCTCTCTCTCTCTCTTTCTCTCTCTCTCTCTCTCTCTCTCTCTCTCTCTCTCTCTCTCTCTCTCTCTCTCTCTCTCTCTCTCTCTCTCTCTCTCTCTCTCTCCCTCTCTCTCCGACAGCCGCTCTGCCCATTTCGCCGGGAGGCAGCGTCCAGAACGTCCCCGGAAACGTGTTCTACTTCGCCGGCAGACTGGTGGACAAACTCTGGCAAGGTGAGTTTAGCACATAGAGGAGAGCTATCTGTGAGATGAAACAGGCCATTAGCGTCGCCACGGGGGGGCAAGCGGGGCAGCTTGCCCCCCCCCCCCAACCTCGGATCGGGCACCCCCTGAGATCGATACAGATCCGATGAGATTTTGGAGTCGGGGAAAACTGGGGGGTACCTTTCTGAGAATGCCTGTGAGGTCAGACTCTGTTGGAGCGTGCAGTTCAAACCAAAGTCAGAGTCGCAGTCGCCAAAATCTTCAAGACTCCGACTCCAGACTCGGAAATGTCAATGCCATGATTCATGCCATGTTCCTAGTTGGTTCTTTATTACATTTTGTAGCTGATTTTCATAAGTTTTGGAGTGCTGACACATAATTTTCGTTCAAAGCGTGACACGAAATCTTCGGGGCCTTTCTCAACTCTCGTCAAATGTCTGCGACAGGCACAAGTACCGTTCAAGTGCCGCAGGGCTCATGAGCCTGCTTTTCACACAGGCTTCTAAGGAGCTCCACTGAGCTCTAAGAAGCTTTCGGAGGGCCCAAACTGGCCTCTGAGAGTCCCACTGGTGTCCATGTTCTCTAGAGGGCCCATACAGGGATCTTTGCGGACATTATACATACGTAGACCTCTGAAGGGCCACACGAATCTTTGATGCCTTCGAAAATTTCGGAAAACCTCAACTGGCCTATGATAGTTCAGCCGAACTTTTGAGGCTACAGACTTTACTAACCCCAACCCGGCATCTGAGGGGTCACAACTCACGTGTCCCTCTGAGGGCCGCAACACATGTTTCTTATGTCCCTACCAACTTAGGGTCCTTAAGGATTCGACACAGACCCCGACGGTTCACACTGTTATTCGAGGGCTCCAGGCTCACCCTGGGCCTAGTCTCTTAGCGCCCGCCGCCCACACTGGCTTCTGAAAGCTCGTGTGCCCTAAAGGGCTTTCGGGCCCACCTTAGGCTCGGAAAGCCCTAAAGCACCACATACACGTAAATATTTGGGGTGACCCACGCCGATCTCCGGGATCCTAAGCAGGCTTCTGAGAGTCCACACTGACCCTGAGTGGCCTGAAATGGCCTGGAAGTCGCAATCCCATCTCTAAGGGATCCCTTGCCGCTATGCCGTGCGTAACTTTTGGTTCCGTTAAATATTTTTGGTCGTGTTTGCAGCGCTTCCCTTCACTCGAAAAACCAGAAACTTTTTGTTCACACTCGAGTGAACAAAACACTTCTCACTGCAGCAAGGATGAATGATGTACTTCCGATTCACACTTCCGACATTCTCTCTCAGTCTCCGCCGAACGCCCAATGGGGTTGGGAACTCGATTTTTTAAGAATGCATGAAAATGATCAAACTATTTTCACAGAATTTATGGTGCATACCATTGCCTCATAAAATCAATAAGCTGAGAGAAATGGGGGAAGAAAGATAGGAAAATTGTTTTGAAAAGTTCTGGAAAAAAGATGCTCTTGATGCTGTTACGTCACATGTCACCTTCTGCGGTTGACAAATAATGGCGCATCTGGCGCACCACAGATTACATGTTATATCAATGGGTGAAAGATGTTGTTTGCTTCACTCTGCCATTCGCGCTGTTTTTAACTTTAAATTATGCTTAAACATTTACGGATGAAATGTTCAGTGTCAAAAATTGATGTGTCTGCCGTGTACTATATTCCCACTTAACATGAGCGCGTGATAAACATTTTATGTACCTCAAATTTTCAAATGATAAAGATGATGAATCGGAGGATGCTGAAAAGCAAAAGCTCATTCCAATATTTGGACTACTTTACGATTAAAATGTTTACATTCCTGTCATCTTATTGATCATTTATTTGTTCTTTTTTATGAAAATAACTTAAGGCGTTGAGAACCGAGGTAATTTCTATCTACCGTGCCTTAACTTACCAGCAACAGCAATCTATCTACGCCCTACGGTGGCAAGGGAGACTGTGAAAGAAGCGTAAGATGGATTCTAAACAATTCTTTTGTGATATACTGAAGAGCAAAGTGCAGAGAAGAGCGTACAAGTCCTGTTTTGTGCCAGGCTGTTGCAGTAGCACTTATGAAACTCCGAAAACGATCTTCGTTCATGTCCCGAACAACATTACCCTGTGAGGAGATGATCGTCTGCAATAGCAGGAAGAGCTGATGCAAGTACTTTGAAATCCACTATCAAGTCGGTGCTATTGTTGTAATGATCACTGTGAGGTGAGATATTTTGTGCAAGGGCTGAGTGAAATGCCCAGGAAATGACCTCCATTCGCCCCCTGACCGGTCAGGGTTATAAAATTTGAGTGGATGGCGGTCCGTTTGGGGTTCAGATGTCAATTGTATTTTGTTACTGTCAAACAATACATGTTATGCTGGCAGCGAATGTGTGTAACGTCGTTTTTCGAAACAGAAGTTAGAACTGTAACGGCAGAGTGCTTGCTGGTCTCATCGTAAGTATTGTAAGTGTTGTAAGCAAAAGCATTGTCAATATTGTAAGTATTGTGAGCATTCATGTATGGTAGATATCACCTCACATGATCTCGGCTCAGATAACCCTCTCCGGTGTCCCTGTCAGTAAATGGCACCTGGATCATTACAGATAAGATAATTTGTCATAATTCTTAAAGAATTGGGTGGTTTTGACTCGTTTACTCGAGGTGCAGGTCGCATTTCAATACTTTTCCATAGGCTTGCAATGTAAAGGTCACGACTCTGACCTAACCTCAGGTCACAGATCAAAAATTCTGAGATATACAAACGACACATACTGCAGGTACTGTTTTGAAGACTTGATGAGAGGAAATAACTTCGTGAAAAACTCAAGCTCTGACGTGTTTGCAAACTTTTCTGAGGTGGGGTCAACAAACCCGCTCTGGTTACCTGACCTGACCTGACCCGGCATTTTTTTTTTTTTTTTGCTGAGATGTGCGCAATGAGCATTTAGGAAAAGTCACCAAATATGAGCTGAATGTCTCGCGGCGTTTGGCAATTGTACAAGAAAATCCTGAAAGGTCTCCCCGTCCGAAATAGGGTTAATGTGTATATGAAGAGTTGCAGATGCCAAACATACCCAGATCTAAGACTGCAGTTCCCAGCGCCGCTGCAACGTTTTTAAAACAAACATACATAGGACATAGGTACAAACATGTTTATTTGCACCTGTTTTGGATAATAGCAACTCATGGCGCCATCACCCGCGATAACTGTTAGGATTTGAGATATATTTTTATTTAGGCCATTAGTTTGGCTGTAGGTAATGTTTATTAATATTAGTTGGGCGGAGTTTGGTAGTTTTTTATTTAACTTGTGGTATGTTGTGCTGATTGCGGGTTGTTCAAACCTTTCAAATGTAAGGACCTTATTGAACTCAACCCTACCCCTACACTACCCTACATACGACTGGACGCTTTCAAAGCCCACAAGCATCACGACGCCGAGATGGAATGTAGCCGAGAAATCACCCTCGCCATCTGCTCTAGAGCTAATCGTGTGGGGCGGCGTGTGGGGCGCCGCTTAGCCTATGGGGGTGCACTTCTAGTGGATGGGGGACGGGGGTGCACCTGCACCCCTTTCATATGGAAAGTTACTTCCCTGATTACAGCTCCCCGTATTGCACCTAATCAGGGAACGGCCAGCAAACGAAGGAACTATTTCTGGATGACAGGCGAATAACCGCTCACGCCAGGAGCGGAGCTCCGCCCCGTCCAAAGTGGCCAACAAAGCAGAGACAGAGGCAGCATCACATCTTCCATCAAAGAACTGGTTTCTGGCTTGGAAGATGAGCTCCATCTTTGCATCCGAGTCGGTGCTGTCAGGAATCAGCTGGTCTAATGGAGTGAGAGTAGTGAGACGACTAGCTATTGTATCAGAGCTGCCTGGTCTTCGTAGCATTTGCACCGATTCTTCTCGATCGGACTCTGAATTCTGTCCCTCCTGCGTATTACTTGAGGCATTGCTATGTAGCTACGTCTTTGGCAGAGTTTCATTATCCATGCTTTGCAAACAGTGCCATAACAACGCAGTTAATTAATCACCAAGCTTCTTTGTAAGTTCCAATACAGTTGAATCGCACGCGATTTGAGTGCAAAAATCAAGAAAAGTGCCAACTTGTTCCCGTAAAATATTTTGAATATTGACCTAAAAAATGAGTAATTTCCAGATAAAATAACAGCGAAATCAGTTTTCGCTTGCCAATAAAACTCACAGATATTGAAGCTCCATTATTAAAGGAACATTTTAGTATATGCCATTCTTGATAAAACTTCTTAGCCACGCAATACCAGCGCAAAATAAAGAGACACTGAAAACACGACCAATCACTCCGATTTACCATAGGAAAATACATAGAAAATGTATGTCTCAACTGCGCCAAATATACAGACAGTTATATACCTACATGTGACGTCATGATTAGCCCGACCAATCAGAAGCAAGTTGTTTTCAGCCACAAATAATTAATTTCTGAACTAACTAGGCATTTTTTTAACAAAGTGATTTTAAATTAAATCATTAAAAATTCTGAGCTTTTTTATTTTACCAAAACATACAGAGCATGCAGATAGGTCCCAACCCTATTCTTAGCTACAATCGGCGGCTGGGATAAGCCCTATGCATTTCACGTAAAACCTCGGCAGGCATGCGTGAATGGAGGTTTTAGCGAGGTGATCCGATTCAAATGGAGCGTTTTTCACTTTCTTCTGGGTAATGATCATGAGCGACGAGAGTCTGCACAGGGGCCCTCTGCAGTGCGTCGGCAATCGCAGCCACTGTAATTCTAACAGTCGTTTTTGTCCAGAAATTTCATTTTTTTGTAAAAAAAATACATGCTATAGCTAGACGGAAAACTTTGTCACCATCGGATTCCTCGCACCATTGCGCGTCGAATGATATGTAAAACGAGTGAGTAACGGCTGGGGAAAGGGAAGATTTAACACAAAACTTGATTTTGCCCCCCCCCCCCCCCAACCGAAAATATCTGGCGACGCCTATGAAACAGGCACAAGTTAAACTCTGGCAAGGTGAGTTTAGCACATCGAGAGCTATCTGTGGGATGAAACAGGCACAATACAAACTCGTGCAAGGTGAGTTTAGCACATCGAGATCTATCTGTGGGATGAAACAGGCACAGCCGCGGACTTGGGTTTGAAGGGGTAAGCTAAGTAAATGATAAGCAAATTAGTCATGTGACATGGGTGCTTATTGGGTGACTTATTCAGTACACACATGATCATGAGCTCGTTAGATATGCTGACATAAACTGTAAATAAGTATTCAATTACTCAATGTACACGTCGACGTGTCCGTATCACCTAAATATAATTTTAATCACAATGATGCACTTATGCCCCTCTAAAGTTAACCCTATCACACCTTCCTAAACTTCACGTTTTTTTTTTCTCTCTACACCGCAGGCATCTTCAAGCGTGACGCCCACGAGGTACTCGACTTCATTATCAAGCTGATCGGTCAGGCTCGCCGCTGGTCCCAGACTCTCCCTTTGGACAGCGTGTACCACTGCCTGAACCGGGCGGTGCTGTATATCCTCAGTCGTCCCACAGACTCCGTGGGCGAGCAGCTGAGGGTTCTGGAGGCGCTGCACACGCTCACCAATCATAGGTGAGGTGGTTGAACTTGAAATCGCTGACCAATCATAGGTGAGATGGTAAAGTCCGTGGCCAGTCGTTAAGTGCTGAACTCGATTAAAATAGGAAATTAGGTGGCCAATTATTAGGGCAGGTGATAAAAACGATAACTATTTTTAGCGTTACATTTCCGTGTCTGTGTGCGTATTATTTCTTTTCTAAATCAACCCTCGTTTTTCCTGATAAATCGTCGAGGGCATTAATGTTCTACGAAACATGTAGCCTACTTCGTGAGCTCGTTTTTTTTTCGTAGAAAGATGACAGCGTTACTTTGGATTATTATCTCAGTTTTCTGATTCCCTCGCTCCGCCTTTCAGGAGTCTTGTGTTCGGCTCCGGGAACCACGACTCGGAGTTTTTCGGCGCGCTCGTCTACTGCCTGCTGCAACTGACAGGAGGGCTGAAAATCATGTGAGCACGAGTCGATGTAGACATGACGCGCGTGATAACTACTTTTGACTTGGAGGTTGAAATCTTCGTAAATTGGTTTTCTGCGGTAATTTCTTCCCTTTCACGAATTCCGCTGTCAGATTGGATGCGTCTTGCTTTTGGATTTTTGTTTAGAAATCGAAAAATTGGATCCGCTTCACGATTTTGCGTGTCATCTCTGCGCGAGGGCCATGCTAATCTTCTCTGTATCGTAATCCAATTTTAGTATATGCACAGCCGTGGCTGGTGCGGAGGGATAGCGAATAGTTGCCAATTTTATGCCGTTTGCTTTGATTCGATGCCCTTGTCCGTTTCAGAAATGGTGTCAGATCTTTCTTTGTTATCTGATGGAGCGTGTGGCACTGCCCTGATTACTTTTGTCAAAAAGTGGGGAATGCTATTGCCTCCCTATCTACTTGTCTGGCTTTTGTGATATGTTTAGCTGTTTACTTATATGAACGAAATTTTATGTTTTGAAACACCAGCGCGACACCGCTGGTCACGGCCCCCTGCCGGCCTCCTCCCGAAACTGCGTGGCCCGGGCCGCTTGAAGGCCGTTTGTTGTGATTTCGGTCACAGGAGAAAACGTTTTGGTCGCGACCTCGTGGGTAGCCACCTGGCGGTCGGCGCTGGAAATGAAAACTGAGCTAGATTCTCCGGACTTCAACAGAGGAGCAGAGGGTCATCAACCACAGGGACGAATAGAGCAAAGGGAAGACCGTTGTTGATCAAAGGGAGATCAGTGTCCTACCTCCGTTCCGTCGTTCCCATCCTCAGGATACTGAAATCCTTCTCCTCCACGCCGCAACCCCCACTTCGGGCTGGACAGGCAACTTTATCTCATGCGGGCTGCTCCCTTGGAGCGGCACCGCTGCTCCCGAGGGAGCGCACCCCGTAGCCGGGTGCAGTGAGTGCCTTGGGGCTGGGTGGCCTGTCCTTTGGACGGGCTCAGCCCCGGCGACTCACTAGGGTGCCTGCCTAGACCAATGTCTCCCCCTAATTCCTATCATCCTTCCGGCTCTGAAATGGTCTAATTAGACCGAAAGGGCCTAACCCAACAAAACAAACAAACAATGTCCTACACAGGGCACACACTCCTTTCCCAGATTATTCAACAACCATGAATCTAATTGTTGTATCGATTTGGCCTTTTTTCAGCACCGAGGCTGAATCGCGGACAGTATGGCACGCCATCCCCTCGACTCTGGACCCGGAGACGAACCCCAACACGGCACAGGGACATAACCTGATGGCCAACGCGGCCCGCAGGGTGTGGTCCGAGCTCTACATATGGAAACGGCCCGCAGTGGAGGAGGTGAGAGAGAGAGAGAGAGAGAGAGAGAGAGAGAGAGAGAGAGAGAGAGAGAGAGAGAGAGAGAGAGAGAGAGAGAGAGAGGGAGAGGGAGAGGGAGAGGGAGAGAGGGAGGGTGGGGGAGGAAAAAGGAGAGAGAGGGAAAGAGGCGCTGACACAGGTGACAAACTGAGAGATAAAAAAGATGGGGAGGCGGAAGCCTACCTAGTACATACAGCTGTTCAAACAGCAGTGATAGAAAGACAAACTGAAAAATAAAAGAAAGAAGGAGGAGTGACAATAAAAATAGACAGAGATATGCAGAGAGAACGAGAGAGGAGCTCAGCTTTTCACATCATATCCTGTCTGATCTGATGAGCTGTTGTTTCTCATCTACACCCCTTTCACCCCCCCCCCCCCCATCTACCATTAGGTGTTCAAAGTGAGTCTTCCACTGGAAAACAACACGGCGCCAGATCTGGACACTGTCCGCGCCAGCCTCCAGGACCCGGCCACCCGGCTCTGGGTGGCATTTCTGGAGGGAGAGAAGAAGTGCTCCTACCGCCCGCCCTGGGAGATCCAGGCGCAGCTCCAGACTGTCAGCAGCGTGAGTTTGGGACGATGGGAGGGCTGGTGGGGGTTGTGTCAGCAGTAGTGGTGTCAATCGGAACTTGAATTTTCGGAATTCCGATTTTGTCCAATGTCCAATTCGGAATTCGGTTGGACAATGACAGCAGGCTTTGGACAACTTTGGACAATCGCTTGCTACACCTCAACATTTTTATAAAGCAATCGTGTTTAACATTGATTGGCTATTAGAAAACTCAGCTTTCGATATGATTAACACTTTTGAGCTGGTAATGGTACGGCCCTCCAGCAAAAGAGTGGTTGGTTAGCCTATGTGCTTTTGGTGTAATAACTTAAAATGACAAAGACACTCCTGTAAAATGACCACATGGAAATGAGAAGAGGGTTCGTGCACACATTTCAGCAGTGGTTTTCAACAGCCATTAGACGTATTCATCAATGCAGATCGATTATTGTGATGTTGGCAACCAACCACTTAATACCTGGAGGGCCGTACATTAAAAGCAAATTAAATAACAGTGTTGAGTGTAAACTATTGCGTAGGTGTCGGATATCTTTGGACAAATGGCTGGTTTGGACATTTTTGGACGGACAGTCGACGTAAGTATTGGACATTGGACGGACATTGGACACACGTTTTCTGAAATTGACACCAGTAGTCAGCAGCGTGAGTGTGAAACGAGGGCTGGTGGTGGTCATGTCAGCTGCAGCGTGAGTTTGGGATTGCGGGAGGGTTGGGGGTTGTGTGAGCAGCGTGAGTTTTGAACGACGGGAGGGTTGGTAGGGGGTTAATGTGTCAGCAGCGTGAGTTTGGGACGACGGGAGGGCTGGTAGGGGCTGGAAATCTAGGTGTAGGTGTGATTAAGGTAGTTTTGGGCCGAAGGGTGGTAGTAATATGGTAACATTTTGAGCTGTCCTATGTTTGGAGTGGGAAAGTTTGAAGAGCTTCGACCTTTGACGAGATTGGGAGCGGGACAGCTCGGTCATTTTAAAGTCTGGGATGGGAAAGTTATAGGACATTTGTTGAATTAATTGCGAAAGAGATGTGAGTATTTGAGGAGTGTTGCCAGTATTTCGTGGGTGAGCAGTAGTGAAGATCTCAAAACCGTTATGTCACCCCCACTCCCCAGTGTAACATCATTTATCCCCATGGTCGACTTGTAACCCTAATGACATTCTACGCGCCCTGCCCACCAACAGAAGCTGCAGCGTGTGACGGGCGGCCTGAGCCGGCTGGCGCAGCGCACCCGCTCCCGGCGCGAGGACTTTGTGCGCGCCCGACCCTCGCCGCTGACTCCGGCAGAGGTGGAGCTCTGGACTCTGCAGCACATCGCTGGAGTCAGGGAGTCGGTGGTGACTCAGTTCAGACAGTTCAAACAGGTGAGGGGCTCGTAGTCATAATTATAAACTTTATTTTTTACTAGCTTCATTCTAAATTTACTATTGGGACAATGGACACATCCTGCTTTCGTGTTTTGTTTCTTGTGAGTAAGGCACACATTACTTCGCCGTGCTTTATTTTACCATTGCTGTTTTTTATCCACGCAGAGCCAGAAGTACATGGAGGACTTTATAATGGACGAGTGGCTGCGAATGGAGCGAGAGCTGACCAGAGAGAGGGGCCTGTGGGGGCCCGAGGTGGCCAGCAGGTGAGCACTCACGGGCCCAGGATCCGGACTTTGGGACTTTTGGGGCCTCCGAGACACACAGTGTCCGGTGGGAGGTCCGCGAACTGGCATTGTTGATCTTCTTTATCATATTGAAGTTACGATATGACCGTTATGGATATGTTTGAGTTACTATTAATAGCCACTGTACCATTTTGACAGCAGCTAACACAAGTTTACTGAACGCTGGGTGCTTTAGATTGATTTTGAGCCTAATTATTGCTCAGGTCAACAGGTTACCATGTTAAGTCTATGCCGTTGTCGACGACCATTGACGTTAATGATTCTGTTAACATGTGACGACTGCCCATCTTGACAGTCACGATCTGCTGTTGCATCGGGCATATCGTCAATGTCTCACGGCTGTCTGGATATATTGGCTGCCGGTTATATCTGACGTGTCTAACGTTTGTCTGTGACATGTTGTCAGTCTGGACAAGTGGCAGCTGGACACTACTGAGGGTCCGTGCCGGATGAGAAAGAGAACAGTCAGTGATGTCACGTTCTACCAGCGCTATCCGTATAGACCCGACCTGGAGACCGTGGTACAGGTGGGTACATTCTACCAGCGCTACCCGTATAGACCCGACCTGGAAACGGTGGTACAAGTGAGTACATTCTACCAGCGGTATCCGTATAGTCCCGACCTGGAGACCGTGGTACAGGTAGATACATTCTACCAGCGGTATCCGTATAGACCCGACCTGGAGACCGTGGTACAGGTAGGTACTGAGTACCAACGGTACATTCTACCAGCGCTACCCGTATAGACCCGACCTGGAAACGGTGGTACAAGTGAGTACATTCTACCAGCGGTATCCGTATAGACCCGACCTGGAGACCGTGGTACAGGTAGATACATTCTACCAGCGGTATCCGTATAGACCCGACCTGGAGACCGTGGTACAGGTAGGTACCGAGTACCAACGGTACATTCTACCAGCGGTACCCGTATAGACCCGACCTGGAAACGGTGGTACAGGTGGATAATAGGTACCAACGGTATCCGTACATATGGTATTAGGAGACTGCGGCACAGGTGCCAGCCCCGTAAAAACTACCAGCAAAACCCTTGCATGCCCTAGCCTATTGACTGTGGTTTAGGTGAGTACTGGCGTACTGAATGTCAGCAGTATAGGCTACTGTTTTATAGTTAGGTATGGTTAAGTCTATACCAGAAGCATTGATTTCGGAGTACTGGCCCTATACATAGTACCTACTAACTTTGTGCATCGCGCGTACCGAATTTCAGGTGATAGCCTACCTGGGAAAACAGATACTGTCTTACTTGACTCGTATGACTACATTTATTGTAAAGAACACATCTGCCTAACTCCACTACATATAACACCCATCTCGCTCGCCCCGTTCCCAGCGCGGCGCGGCCAAATACAAGGTGCCCGTGTGTCGGGACGCGCGCGCCTGGTCGCAGCAGCCACGCCGCCGCTCCCTGCTGGGGAGGACGGAGGCCGGACGGACGGCGGCCGCTGTCGATACCATGTCTATGACGGAGGAGGAGGGCGCCGACTGTGCCGATATTGGAGAGAAGCTCAGACAGGCTGGTGAGTGGAAACGGACTGGTTGGGGAACGGTGAGGGCTGGGGCAGGGAAACGGATGGAAGGGGTGGACGGACAGGTGGAGGCTGGAAGAGTGAGGGAAAGGGAGGACAATATGAGAATGTATACTGTAGTGTCAGTGTTCAGTGCACTTTGTTCGTCCAGAGACAGGACAATTGGTGCCGAACCCAAGGCCGCGGCTGGCCGCCGTGCAGCACACGTCGCCTTAGAGGAACTGTAACGGTTGAATGTGTAATTAGAGTGCATTCGAACTTTGGAAGAAAGACGTGGTGGAATACTGGCGCTCGTAAAGGACTCCACCTTGAATTGCTTCGCAAATGATGTATAGGAAGCCTAAAATATGAATATGCGGATGAAAACGCATTGTCGTAACATGATGATTTTAGCTGATTGCAGGAGTGAACCGTTTCACTATTGCCAGCCGAATCAGTGCTACTAATGCTATCCTCGCTACACCCTACCCCCGCCCCCTCGTGCCCCAGGTCTGCGCGGCAGTCTGCGTCGCCGCCGACTCACCTCAGACCCAGACGAGGAGCCCGAGTCATTAGACCTGCCAGATTCGGCCACCGACGGGCCGGCGGGCGGCGAGAGACAGCCGTCGGCAGATGTGGAGGATACCAGTCCCGATAACCAGACGCTCCTACGGCTGCTGGAGCATGGAGAGAAGGTAGGGGGGTTGGGAGAGAGGAAGGGAGATCGAGGAGGGGAGAGGGAGGTATCTGTCGTCATAGCAGACAGATAATAATTGTATTTTTCTGCCACAAATGTAACTTGGCTGTAACTAGAAGGCTGTGTAACTGTATTCATAGCACTTGATTTTGATGGGTTCTGATATTTTTCTTGATAAGCTTAACTGCTTTTTAAGCTATTTTGGCATGGTTCTATTAAAATTAGCTTAAAAGAACATTCTTATGCCGATAAAATATTTCCTCCGCCGAGTCTCGAACCCACGACCTCCACGTTAGCTCACGTGCTCCCCGTTCTGGCAGATATCGCACATGTACCGGTGCGCGCGCATCCAGGGCCTGGACACGGTGGAGGGCCTGCTGCTGTTCGGAAGGGACCACGTGTACGTGGTGGACGGCTTCACCATGCTCAAGACCAGGGAGATCAGGTGGGTGACACGAGGAATGTGAGGGCAGAGGCTGCCCTCGGTGTTTCTGGGCCGCGCTGCCGTGCAAAGGCTAAAACCATTATGTCGGGTCAGATGCCATTACCTCAGGTCAGAGGTCACCCGAACATAATGGGTTTTGCCTTTATACGGCAGCGCGGGCCTCGTAGACGTTCAAATTATGTGCTCTTGAGACGCATCAAGTGTCTTCCTACGCATATATTTATTTCTAATTTATCTTATTGATAATATTTTTTCGAAGCCGAAGATCAGAATCTGAGGATCATATTTTATCCTGGTTGCCCCCTCCATTTTTTTCCTTTCCGAAGCGTAATATCCCTCACCCTTCACTATTTACCCCTAACTGATTTATATGTAGCATCCTTGTATGTGCCTTCGAATTTCTAACATCCATTTTCGTTGTCTTCCCTTACGCAACTTCATCCCTAAGTAATATCAAACATACACCAAATTATCTCAGTAATTCTAACCCCCGTTCCCGCCCCCGTCACAGGGACATCGGTAACCTGCCGGCCAACATGCACGATCCGATCGTACCGTGCCAGCCGACCGGCCGCCGGGTAAAGGACGTCCGATCCGTCTCCAAGGTGGCCTACGACGACATCCGGGAGGTGCTCAAACGCAGGTCAGTCAATGGTTCTCAATTTTAGGTCAGTTGGGGGTCTCAAACGCAGGTCAGTCAATGGTTCTCAATTTTAGGTCAGTTGGGTGTTCTCAAAGGCAGGTCAGTCAGGGGTTCTCAAACCCAGTGAAAGGTTCTCAAACGTAGGTTAGTCGGTGGGCCTCAAACGCAGGTCAGTCGGTGGGCCTCAAACGCAGGTCGGTCGGAGGGTTCTCAAACCTAGTGAGAGGTGCTCAAACGCAGGCCAGTCGGGGTCATCAAACCCATTCAGTGGCTCTCAAACGATGCTCAGAGGCCCTCAAGCGCAAGTGTCTGGTTTGCTTTAACGAATTATATACGGGAGGTTAAAGCAATTGGTTGTCGCCTTTGATTTCGGTGGTTCATCAAGGATATTGTAGTGCGATTTTTGCTACATAAAGGTCATTGTTGTTGTAAATTTTCATGCTTTCATTCACTCTTCATAAAATAGCTATGGAAGTTAATTTATGTATCATTTTCAGTCCCAGTATGCTTCAAATTGTAGGTACCCCAGACATCGTAGAGCAGCTTAATCTGTCGTTTGGCAAACCGTGGGGTATTTTAGAGCCCCCGTTTTCGTGTCCCAGGTACCTGCTGCAGCCCATCGCGGTGGAGTTCTTCTCAGCGGACGGACGGAACTACCTGCTGGCCTTCCCCATCAAAACCAGAAACAAAATCTATCAGAGGTGAGAGAAAGGCTAACTGGTTAGAGATAGACAGCTTAAAACGCCAAGCCATGTAAAGTGGTGGCTGGGTATGAGACAAAAAAATTGGTACTCACGCAGAGACTGCAGTATCAATGGCCGGCACCCAGGAGCGAGTATGACCTGACCTTTGACCCCCGTGTGACCCCGCAGACTACAATCTGTAACCACATCAATGACAGACACCCAGGAGAGTGTATGACCTGACCTTTGAGTCTTTGACCCCTGTGTGACCCCCCCCCCCCCCCAGACTACAGTCGGTGGCCACCTCAATGGCGGACACCCAGGAGAGTGTAGCCGGTCAGAAGACGTCGGCCAACGTGGATCAGAGCGGCGGCCTGCTCAGCAGTCTGATGGGGGAGACCAGCGTAACGCAACGATGGGTGGTGAGTGGGACAGGGCGTGTAACGGGCTGTGACGTGACGTGCTCAGTAGTCTGATTGGGGAATCGCAAAGAGGGGGGTGGGGTGGATTTGGTGTGAACGTGACGGGTAACGGGACTTGACGTGTTGCCTGTAGCGATGACTTCATGGTGGTAACGTGGAATTAATGTGTCGGATTCAGTCTACCTAATGTGAGGGTTTAGCTTGATGCAGTGAGGGCTATCAATTTGTCGAAAATAAAAGCCTGGGGTTTTGGAACTTTCAGCAATATTTTATCGGATATTGAAAAAAGTGCCTATGACTGTACGGGAAAAACTTTCATCGTGGACAATATAATTATGAAATCATTGCTGCCCGATTCACTACGCTAACCGCAGTGCCGAGCAGGTGGCGTCACCTCATTGAACAAGATTAAATATGTTGAATATCCTGCACAGGG